CCCATCTCCTTTCATTATCAGCCTGCCATATGTACAAACCAGTGACCCAAAGATTAGCAGGAAAGGAAACGCGCCGAGGAGGAATTAATTACTACACGCGAGTAATAAAAAAAGTGGGAGGTGGGCTGGTGGGAGCAGGAAGGAGGAAACAAAGTTGTGGCCATGGAGGAAGTTTGGATCAGCTTTCCTGTAATGGATTGTCCTTTTTTTTTTTTAAAAAAAAGGAGATTTCTGCCAACCCAAGACGCAGAAATCTATGGTTTAACCCTTTTTTCTAACCAACCGTGGCTGCTTGTTCTGGCAGGAAAGCGGGATATCAATCAATAATGAACAGGCTGGCTACCTAGGCTCCGGGTCACCCAGTCTGCTTCTCCCGCTCCGTCTCTCAGAAATGATGCAAAAGGAGGTAATTTATTTATAGCTCACCGGGTCATCTATTCCAAGACTCTCACCTGAAAGGAGCAGCTTCATATATTCCCTTTGCACAGCCGGCTGGATAGCTCAGTGGTTTAGGTAACTGGCTGCGGAGCCAGAGGTTTGCGAGTTCGGTTCCTCACAGGGCCTTCTGGGAGACGAGCCAGCCTGTGTAGCCTTGGCCAAGCTGCCAGGTCCCAGCCCCACCCCCAAAAGTAGACCCGTTCTAAGTACTCTACCTAGAAAACCCGAAAAAGGTGTCCATAAGTCAGAACTGACTTCGCGGCACATGATGATGATGATGATTCAGACATAGTTGCATGAATCTAACCAGGGTCGCCCCAAGATATTTCGCTGTCCGAAGTCAGGGGATAATTTGTCCCTCCTCTCGCACCCGGGTCAAGGCCAAATCCTAAACCCAATCAATTTCCTGTTGCAGGTGGGCTAAAGCAGCCTTCCACAACCATCTGCCCACTCTCCAAGCTTCCTAAAGCAAACATATAATAAGAACAAACCACAAAGGGGCTGCTGGAGGGCCTGCCACGTGGGCTGGACCGGCCCTGCTGTTTGGGGGACGGACGAAGCGATTCCGTACCAAAGCTGAGCTCCCACTCCGCCTGGGGGAATTCCTGGAGCCGTGGTCCGCAGATGCAATTTCCTCCAGCTTTGTTGCGTGCTTCGGGTGGCATTCTGTACCCAGCCGTAAGGGCCACTGAATACAGTGGGCTTTACTCCCGGGTAAACATGCCTAGGATTGCCCTATTCAGTGACCTCCTTCATGGTTTAAGCCTCACCTACGAGTGTTTTACACGTTTCAGCTCTGTCCTTTTGTCCTGTCTAGGGTAGGCGGGGTGAAGAGGGGTTTTCCCCGGACAGTGAGATCCCCAAAGAGGGGAGGGGGGATGCCAGAAAGGGGATCCCGCCTCCTATCTCCCCCCCCCAAACACCTTTACAGAAGCCGAAACCCTTGCATAATCTGAACGGTCAACTTTTCCCCGTGCAAGGAGGCGAGTGGAGGAGTCTGGGACTTTCTTCAACCTGGTGAGATGGTAGATGAACACATGAACAACAACATAAAATAACAAAGGAAACAATCCCCCCCACCCAAACAACCCCAGATCTTGGGCCTGCATGAA